ACACACACAAATCAACTTGACTCCACTGAAAATATTTTTCTGTAATGAAAATGCAGGTAGAAAATTGTCTGAGCAGTCTATATTTTCAGTGTTTTGAGTACTTCAAATTGATGGTAAAAATTGTGTTTTCAACTTTGCTTAAAACAAACTAAGACAGATTTCTGATGTTTTAATTAATTCAACTAATAGAGAATTACTATTTTTTCTACTTTCCGGTACATATTAATAAGGGAGCTGTGTATCATTAACCAATGATCAGGTTTTATAAATGAGCTTTTACCTTCTCTCTCTCCCCCATATTCATAGGTGAACAGGGTGTCTAAGATTGTACTTTGGATTGTTTGTTGGTTTTTGCAAACAGGTGTCTTATTAAGGATTTTGAAAGGCGACCTTCCGTCACACATCTCCTTGACCACCCATTTATTAAAGGAGTACATGGAAAGGTTTTGTTTCTGCAAAACCAACTGGCCAAGGTTCTCCAAGACCAGAAGCATCTAAATCCTGTTACCAAAACCAGGTACTGTACTCTCTTTCTTCTTTCTCCCTGTGGTTGTTTATAAAAATGTCATGTCATGTGTTTTGACTTGCCCAGCATTATTACTGGTAATTATCACATCCCTGCATTTTTAAGAGTTTTATTTACATGCCATTAAGTACTCCATGCCCAGTGGATGAGAGCAGGAGAGCTTCAGAAACAAACTGCCCATTTGTGCTCTTATGGCCAATTTCTCTCAAGTGGCTGAAATCTTACTCTGCCCTGGTGTTCAGTTAGCTCTAGTTAAAAAATCAACAAATATATATATTTACATTTAACAGAAATTTGGATTTTTTTTTTTTTTAACCAATAAGGGTAACTGTGGGAAAGCAACCATGGCTGACATTGTGTGAAACATCTTTACTTGGCTGTGGTAGACTGAAGAGCAGTCATGTAGGCTGTAAAGTGAGTTTTGGAAAGATTCTGAGCTAAACACTGGAGGCTGTTTCTCTGATGTGCTCTGAGACCATTTTCTCTTTAGTTCCAAACTCCTTAGGGTCGATTTAGTATTTTTAAGTAAGATTTTTCAGGTATTGTTTATTCTATCTAAAGCAGCCGTGATTCCTACCCTACCTCATCCTCCTTTTTTTTTTAGAAGGTAGATTTTTATAAAAATGTTTATTTTCAGGGGCAAGTGCTTTAAACAGTATTTCTTGGTGAATCGCTAAGAAATAGATCTTTGACTTCTGTCCAGAGGGTGGCAGAATTTCTCTTTAAAAAAATTAAATGCAAATAAACCTGCTTCCTAGGCTCAGCAATTATTTGGTTTTATGAAACCATCCAGGATGTAGATAAGCTCCAGTCCATTATTATTAAAAGAACATTTGAAGTACTGGAGGTGAAGAAAATAAAATATCATAAGTTGCAAGTTCCGGAAATACGTATTCTGCAGAAAGCTGTTTAGTAATCAAAAAGCCAAACACTGGCCTCAGAACTCTTGGAGCTGGAGGCGTAGTTTCAAGGTGACTATATTTTGCTGATTTTTCTTCCCTTTTGGATAGCTCAGAGTGGATTTTTTTTCCTACTTGCTTCCTTTTTCCACTGCCATTTCTGTTTCTATGGCCTCCCTACAGAGTAGAGAAATGCAGAGAAATTCTTGTGACTTGGGGTCTTTTTGAAGCAGTAGGAACTTGTGTTTAAACCCCAGGGAGCTGAAATCTCTTTTCTTCCTTGTTTTGTTCCTTTACAGCAGCCACCACCCCTACCAGCCACCTACACACACACACACACACACACACACACACACACACACACAGCACCACCACCACCAAAAATGAAGACGAAGTAAAAGAAAATACAAACTAAGCAAAAAACAAACCCAACATTTAAAGGGTATGAGTCAAATCCAACATCTCCTCCTTGTCTCCCTGTTCTGGGATTTGCCACGGAATTATTTCTAAGACTTCATTTGCCAAATTATCTGGATTTTCACATTTGCCTGACTTTCCCTGTCTAGATCTATGCTCTCTCTCTCTTTTATTCTTTTTGAAGAAAAAAGGTGCGGTGGCTCATGCCTGTCATCCCAGCACTTTGGGAGGCTGAGGTGGGCAAATCATGAGGTCAGGAATTTGAGATCAGCCTGACCAACATGGTGAAACCCTGTCTCTACTAAAAATACAAAAAATTATCTGGGCATAGTGGTGGGGGCCTGTAATCCCAGCTACTCGGGAGGCTGAGGCAGGAGAATAATCACTTGAACCCGGGAGGAAGAGCTTGCAGTGAGCTGGATCATGCCACTGCACTCCAGCCTGGGCGACAGAGTGAGACTCTGTCTCAAAGAAAAAAAAAAAAAAAAAACCAAAATCTTTCTCCTTTTACCATAGAAAATTGTAACACCAGCCTCTCTCATCCCCTTTCTCTAATTTCTCTTTATCTTTGTTAACTCCTTTGATGTCAGAAGCCTCATGTAGTGGCAAAGGCTTCTCACAGGGTCTTTGTAATCTCGAGTTTCACTCAGTGGTTTGTGTTTCTTTGAACTATCATTAAAAAAAAATACAACCTCACAAATAGGTATCAACACTTTAAACAATCACTTCCTTAGGATGTAGGAAAATTAATTCCAAAGGAAACAGAGTGCACGTAATTGACACTTAACCTGCCACCTCTCTTGTACTATTACTTCCTCTTGCAACTGGCAAAGAGCTGGCTACATAGATGTTTTTCAGCCCACCAGGAAAAACCCTCAAATACCATTCCATGCTGATAAATCAATATATTTAAAGCTGTGATTTTTCAAGTTAAAGCAGACAAAAAAAAAAAAAAAAAAAAAAAAAAAAAAAAAAAAAAACCCACACAGAAAAATTGAGGTGAGTGTATAGATGATTGAGGCCAAATTACCCACTCATCATTTTTCTACACAGTTATGGCCACCAGGCAGGCAGTGCAATGTGGTGGTTAAAACCACTGGCTTGGCAGGGTGTGGTGGCTCACACCTGTAATCCCAGCACTTTGGGAGGCTGAGGTAGGAGGATCACTTGAACCTAGGAGTTTGAGACCAGGCTGGTCACTGTAGCAAGACCTCATCTCTACTAAAAAGTTAAATAAATAATAAAAAGTAAAAGAAAAATTAGCCATGCATGGTGGCACATGCCCGTAGTCCCAGGAGGCTGACGTGGGAGGATCACTTGAGCCCAGGAGTGTGAAGCTGTAGCAAACTGTGATTGCACCACTGCACTCCACACTGGACAACAGATAAAGATCTGTCTGAAAGAAAGGAAAGGAAAGGAAAGGAGAAAGGGGAAAGGGGAAAGGGAGAAGGGGGGAGGGGAAAGGGGAAAGGGGAAATGGGGGAGGGAAGGAGGGAGGGAACCTATTGCTCTGCCAGGTTTGGGTCTCAGGCCAGCCACTAACTGGGTATGTTTTTAATCTTTCTCTTCCAAAGTTTCTTCTATAAAATGGGGATTATTTTGAGGGTTAAGTGAGTCAATACATGTAAAATGCTTAGAATAGGGCACCTTCCATAAATGTTAGTAGTAGAAGTAGTGTACAAGGCCTATTTAATTCTGAGTCTTTCATTTCTTTTTAACACTAACTACCTCTTGCTCATAATTTGTGCAAATTCATCTTTTTACTTACTGTAAAAGATCATGAAAATAAATAGTACTGAGGTACTGAATGTTAAAAATATCCCATTTTATCTCTTATTCAATATCTAATTTATTCATTCAAGAGGCATTTATACCTGTGTATGTGTCAGGCCCTGTGCTGAACAGAGGGATTACAAAGGCAAATCAGATGCAGTTCCTGATAAAGAGCTAATAGTCTGGTGTGTGATAGAGACAAGAATCAGGTGAGAACAGTTCAACATGAAAAGTACCTAGATAAAGGAATGCCTGGGATACCTCCCAGAGCACCTGGGAAAGACACCTAAGTCAGTCTGGGGTTGGGATGGTGGGGGAAGATGCCCCGGAGCTTCTGGGAAGATGATCCTTGAACTGTCCTGAAGAACAAATCGAAGATAGTCAAGGAAAGGGGGTTATTTGGGGTAGAGGGGAAAGAATGAGTGATGAGCAAAGGGCAAGGCACAAGGGCTAGAGAGAGCTTGGGGAATCTGGTGAACAATTAGTTGACATGGCTGGAGCTTGGCGTGGGGTAGGTGGGAGGCAGAGACAAGGTAGACAGCAGCCAGGTCATAATGGGCCTAAGGAGGTTGAATTTGTTTCTTAGGTGCTAGGGAGCTATTGATGAGTTCTAGAAAGTTGTTCTGATTGCAGTATGGAGAATGAAGCAGGGCAAGGCTGCCACTAAGGAGGCTAGTGAGCAGATCATAGTAATTACAAATGGCAGAAGATATTAAAATAATGGTATTGTCAGGACTTAGTGATGGACTGATTGAGGGAGATTAGGGAAAGAGAGAAGTGTGATGGGGCCTCCCCAAACTGGGCCGCCTCCCTGGCCTGGTTCACAATACAATCACATAGAAATTGCAAGACACGTCTTCATAGTCTATCAAATGCAATGCTGAGTACTTCCAGATATTACACTAGGCTTCCAGTTTTCTGCCCGAAAGAGAGTTCTTCAACGGTCTAACCAGTCCTGGGCCCTCCAGCTGAAGCAACTCTTTTGGATTTGAGAGCTGATACAGAGTAATGAAATGTATAACCTACAGGGAAAACTTTCTTACTATTCCTGCAAAGGTAAGGAATATTCTGTCCACTTTAGTACTTTTCCCAGGGGAGAGAGAAGTTGGTAGTTTCAGCGGGGCTGCAGGGAAGAATGCAAGTTCTTAAAGGATTGGGGAACACTTGGACAGGTGAAGGGGAAGGATATATATAGAGAGGGAGACATTGAAGACAGAAGAGAGAGGAAACAATGGAGGAAGCAAGAGGGAGTGGGTCAGGGGCCTAAGAGGAAAGTTCACCTTAGAAAGAGAGAAACTCTAAGTTGGGAAAGACACAGAAAGGTTAGATAAAAGTACTCAGAAAACTTAAGTGAGGAGAGGAGGTATTGTGAGGAAATTCATGTTGAATGGCCTTTATCTTTCAAAAAAAAAAAAGAAAAAAAAACTTAGCAAGGTTTCAGAGTTGGGAGTGGAATGTGTACTCCAGGGAAGTATCAAATCTTTGAGATAGTCACTATGAGGAATATGATAAAGGGTCAATTAAAGATAGACATCACGATTGCTTAATAGCATAGAAAACCCAGGTGGAACATAACTGAGCAGCATCCTATTGTAGTGAAGTTAATCCGTCTCTAAGATAATGTGTGTAGAGCATTCAGGACAGCATTTGGCACTAGAAACTCTCAGAAAATGTACCACCACCACTGCCGCCTTTCTCATCTGTCATCTTGATTAACTCTTAGCAGCAAGGAGTTAGGAGTAGAGAAAGCAGACATTATGGTCTTCTTCAGGCTGGAGACTGACTTCAGTGGACATGATGGGTGGGTAAGGAAGCAAGGGAATCGAGGTTAGTAGAAGAGTGGCCTTGGGATCTTTGGGGGTAGGGAAGAAAGTGACACCAGACTGCCTTATTGACTTTGAG